CCCCCCCCCCCCCCCCCTCCCCTTTAAGGTCAAGTTAATTTTATTTTCTATATAGTGCTGGATCACAACAGAAGTCATTTAAGGTTACCTCTCCTACAGAACAGGTCTATACCTTGTTCTTTTATTAAACAAACTAAATAGCCTTATGTTATTTATCTTATTTATATGACAGCATATCATTTCTGTCTCTACATGGTCAGATCGTGCGTTTACAATTCTCCTCTGCTCTCTGTATCGCACACAGCAGAGTTTTTGAGTAAACAGCCGGTCCCAAAGTCAACAGAAACACAGGACAAGTTCTTTCTGATCTAAATTAAAATCTTTCACTGTCAGTAATGCCTGATGCTTGTACCCTTACAGGCACCTATTTTTTAAACTCCAATGCACAAGAAACCAACATTTTTCTGTGGGCATCAACATTATCTTGATGAACAAACTCGTATCAAAGGATATATTCAATGTTCCTACGCAGGTTCTCATTGAGCTTGGCCTCCAGCTCACCTAGCTCCTCCTCAGCCTTCCTCATATCTTTCTGTAGCTCCAGGCGAGACTTTCTGCTATCGTAGTAGCCTCCTGTCAGTGCACCACGGTGGCTCACCTGGTCACCTAGGAGGTAACCACACAATGTACAGTGTAGAACAGAAAACAGGCTACTACAGTACTACCACTATCACTGGTACAGAGACGAGTCAAAGATTCTGTGTGTTGACACATGACATTGCCAAACCTCTTAACCTACACCTCCCTGAATTTACATGGGAGCAGATAGTTTAACTAGGAGTATGATTCAGACATGATGCATAGTTTCTCTGTATGTAGTTTGTCTCTGTATGGAGATGGCTGAAAATCCAATTAATACAGAAAAAGACTGGCCTTATCCTTTAAAATAATTATACAGCCAAAACATTTTACACAGCCTATACTTGTGCAGGCCTTTTGAAAAACAGGCCTTACATAACAGAACTGACATTATTTAATAAAAACTTTGGATCACTGCTGACACACTTTTGGTCTGACACTCTAGGTGTGCTTCAGGTGACGACTGGCACTTTGCTTATGTGTTCTCACTTTCTCACTTCAGTATTTTTCAGTGGTAGTGGTGTATAGCAGGGTCCGAAATTAACAGGTGCTTCAAATGTACTTTTGTTCGTCCCTGAATGTTTCAGTCAGGACTCGAGTTGTATTGTATTGAATTTATTAACTTCTGATTGATATAGCCCATTAAAATAACTTTGCTTCAGCTTTTTGCTCTGGCCTCTATATGTCTGTATCCAATATATTATTATTTCAAAGTAATCCTGTATATGTACATGACACAAAAACGTAATTTATAATTTTGGCCAGTAAAAAAAAAGTGTTTGGCCGATGGATAGTGTACTAGGTATGGCAGGTCAACTTACCCTCCAGAGTGATACAGTCCATGGTGAAGGCTCTGGCCAGCTGTGTGGAAACCTCCATGCTGCGACAAATCAAGGTCTTTCCAAACACATGCTTGAAGGCCTTGTCAAAGTTGGGGCTGTAGCGCAGCTTACTGATCATGGGGATGGCGTCCTTATGGGGCAAAAACATTTAGGTATGAACACATGCTACACAGCGCATCTTTGAACAAAAAACGTGAATTATATATGTGAGGTCACTGGGAAACTCAGTGAAGCAGCACTAGGCAGTGTGCTGTGGCTTTATTTACAACAAGCAATGAAGAGAATAAAGCAAAAAGTGCACAGTTGTTACACCTCAAAATGGCAAAATCTAGTAAGAAATGCATTAATATAGTTTCTTTAATGTTAACTGTTCCAGATTTAGTTACATCCATATGCTGTTAAGATCTAAATTTGCTGCTTACAAAACACCAGATACAATTTATACATGGTACTGACATTGGTTTCTGGGTAGGCGGTGTCTCTAACGTCCAGTTTGCTCAGGGGCAGGAAAGTGACTTCTCCAGGCAGGTTCATTTTGTTGAACTCCATTAGTATTTTGGTGCTGACTTCGTCAGTCTCCACAATGTGGTAGAACAGTCTGGAAAACATGAGAGCAGTCAGGAGGACATAAACAAAGAGGAAAAGGAAAATAAAGACACAGTTTAACAAGTCTGCCACATTGTAATATCTGAGAAATCAATGCTGTAAACAACCAACAAATATCTGAGAATATACAAAATATTTACAACATTTATTCCTATAATGGGTACACAAGGATTAAGATGAAAATAATTAAGCCCCAAGGCATATGGTATACTAATTGTGCAAACAGAGAAACAACTTAACACCACACACCTAAGTATATTTTGCCTTCCCAGAACCCAGCTCCTCATATTGACAAGTTGACAGGCCACAACTGTTTCAGTATATGGTTTCTTGCAACAATTTTCATATTCATCACCAATGTTTGGCAGTGATATTTTTACTAAAAACCCCACCAACATTTGGCAGTGAAAATATATAAAGGAGTCCTCACCTGGTACCAGCAGTAACCTCCACACAGGTGTAAAAAGCAGGCTCACACTCAAAGTTATTCATGACGATGCCATGATAACCCTTGATGACATGCTGGTTGATGCCCTTCCGACGGAAATGCTCAAGGACTTTGTTGATACTGTCAATGCCGTTCAGAATGGCCTGGAGGGCCACAAGAGAAAGAAAAGGAATAATGAGTTAAAATGGAAAATAACTTTCAAAGTTAAATATATATTTCAAGGCAAGCTCATATGAACACGCAACGGCCTGGATTTATGCCCATTCAAGCAAACTCAAACAACTATCACGTAATACTTAATTTTGTTAGAAAAAAAGTATATTAGTATTTTGTTTGGGGAAAAAAAAAGTCTCAAGATGTGTATAAACCCAGTTGCTTCTGCATAGAAATACTAGAACATATGTAAACCAAATTTTTTGAGCTTTAGGTCACGTCTAAGATGATAGTTCACCGCTGTAACATTGCAGATAAGTCAGAAAACATGGAAAAGCATGTCATGGACACTTTAAGGTTAGGGTAAGTCTTCAGAAAATGAAAATTCCTCCCAAGAAATGATGTGTGCTCGCAAGTACAGGGATTAATATGGAACCACAAATCTGTCATCAGTTTCAACACTCTAAAAAGAATTTCCATTTCTTCACACACACACACACACACACACACACACGCCCACAGGGAGCCATTACATATCCCGTAGTGGCATTATTAAATTCAGTAATCATGCACAGTGACATGGACCTTTCCGGTGGCCGCTCGAAGAAGCTGCTGTTTCTTCTCCAGGTCCTCTCGTTTGGCTGCCAACGCCTGCTGCTCTGCGTTCTCCTCACGCCACAGGCAGCTGGACAGACACAGTCAGTCACCCACTGGTCATTCATGGCATCAAACAGATTAAAAGCCAACTGCAGCCATGATACTCAGAGAAATCAGAGTAAAACATGCAACAAAAAATGTTCTTTGCAGATGTTTATGTAAATAATTTATGATTATGATTTAGACACCTTACAAAAAACAGAACAAGCAGATTTTACACTTAAGGGGTATGTCTCCTCTTAAAAATGAGGAGCAACTTTCGCAACATGATTCCTTGTCCATTTAAAAACCTTGCATGTCAAATTACATTTGCATATTTACCGTACACATACATATATGCAATATAGAGCATATCACAAAAGTATTCACTCCCTTGTTTTTCACATTAATAATTCAAATTGTTTTGTCATGCCCTAGACTGAGACCACATGCTGCTGCTATCGTCAAGTGAAACACAGATTTGCTTAATATTTGTTAATCAAATTTTAATTATTGAAACAATAAAACTGCCAAAACAGTCTGCCTCTTGTTTTCATTTCAGTATTTAGTCAGTTATTCATATTATAAGATCATACATTAGTAACAGTTTGCAGCTGTGGGTCCACATATTGTTTTCCTTTTATTAGAGCTGTCATTATGCTGCCCTTTCACCCACTAGACAAAAACAATAGATCACAGTGAACTGGAGGGTGCACGATGGATTCGGGATTTGACAAACATGAATGTGTTCATTAAATTTCATTATTTATATGATATTGAGTACATCATCTCAATTAATAGATGGTGACTTGAATAAAAATGCTCAATTTGTTGCAGGAGAGCATCTTTCCTGACTATATGTTCAAACCCAGAGCAGAAGCATCACCTGTTTTGTGTATACATAAACCTTGTTGCTTAAGTGGACAGAGAAGGCTGGGTGTTAGGTTGCCAAGCAGAAATAACATCCTGGCTTAAAGGAAGCATGAACAATTCTACCTCTCAGTTTAATGCAAGATACAAGAATAACTTGCATAACGATTAATCCAAATTGAGTTATGTTATACTTAGGCAAGACAACATAAATAAACACACAGATCACAAGCCAGGCCTGAAGCTATTTCAAAAATATGCGGTCCAAGAGGGGGTTGGAAGGAAAGTGAAGGTTCTTACTTTCTCTCACTCTGCAGCTCATCTTTCCTGTTCTTCACCTCATAATACTTTTTGTCCAGCTCTTCAACACGTGTCTTGACCTCATTTAGATCTTGATCAAGTTTCTAAAAAACAAGTTAAAAGTGGGTCAGAACGTGAGATTAAAACTATGGAAACCATGAAAACTGGCAAACACAATACATCATGGTATTTCAGTCTATTGGAATTAAAGTTATATGAAATTACAACATAAATTTTTCAGCCACAAAGATAATTTTGAACTGAATACGTTTTTTAACCCTAGCAATCAAAATTACCAAAAGCTTTTCACAAATGTAGCTACATTTGTACTCCACAGCTAATAATTTTCACCACAGCTACAAAATACCACATACCATTAATCCCTCTGAAATGAAATTGGTCTGAATATCAAACTTCCCATGCAAGCTACAAATCTTCAATATGGAAAATTGGAGCAGTAGTTAAAAGGTTCAGAGTTGTCATACATTGTACTGCTCCAGGTTCTTCTCCTTGTTCATCTCTGTGTCCTCCAGGTCTTTGTGGATGGCTGCGATCTGCCTCTTCTTATCATTGATGGCCTGGTCCAGAGACTTTAGCTCCTTCTTGATCCACTTGTCCCTCTCCTCCTTTGAGGTGAACTGGCTGCCACGGCCCTGCTTTGCATACAGGTCTGTCCTCTCTTGTGTAGCCTGGGCCAATCTGTAAGGAGATGGGATGGGGAGTTCAGATGTTATAAACTAAGCCACAGGTTGACATAGGAAACCTCGCTGTAAGCCATCCGAGTTCTACTCATTTCCCAACAAATGTAGATTTACATAGCTACTGTAACAACCTTGTCAGCCAACCGTTATCAGCAGTATTTACATTTTTTCTTGTCTACCCGTGTGCTTGTTGTTTTGATGATTCTTAGTCACAGATACAGATGTCTGCTGAACATAATTTCCATGATATGAAAGCAGCAATTTTAAAAGAAAGTGCATGTGTGATTTATTTAGGACTTCCAAAAGAACATCGAGAAACAAGTCAACACATTTATCTCAGCATCACCTTCCTGCAATTAAGAAATCCAAATGATTGTAGCACACCTGCACCAAAAAGCTTTGTAGCTGAATCCACAAACATTTCATGTGCTTCCACCTCTTGATCTCTCGCTATAAAAATGAATTTAAAATGTGATGACTGACTCATCAAGCTGTGACTGATCACCAGCTGCTCAAGGGAGTGTAGCTGAAGATGAGTCATCCATACCTGGAGATGCCCCGCTCCTCTTTTTCCTTCACCATGTTGAATTTGGGCTCAGTCTCCTGCAGTTCTTTTTGCTTCTCCTCAATTTTCTCCAGCAGCTTCTGACGCTCCTTTAGCAGACGTTTCTGGGTGAGCAAGAACAGGACAATTTATGGCAAAAAGTAGCCCATGAGAGATGGAGAGGAAGGAAAGCAGTAAAAATGAAAGACACGCTGCTGACAGTGTAAAGATGATTAATAAACAAAGCTTATATTACAATCAAGAGATGGACAGGTGCTATAAAGACAAGAAAAAACACCAAGGTCTCCTCAGTACAATTTATATTCATGTTTTATCCACAAATATTTCTTCATGCAACTTATTCTCACCACTTCATCGTAAAACATAAGCCATGATCTTGGAATAATTGTTGAATAGTTTCCAGTAAATATCGAATAGTATTTTAGCATTAAATGCCCATCCCTACAACATACACTGTCAGATCACCCCAAAACAAGACGAACTAGTAAAAGGTTACAAATTCAGTGAACAATACTGAGTAAAAGTGATGGTAAGAAATAGTCAACCATGTGCAATAATTCCACACCTGCATACTGAACACAGGCTGCCAATTGCACTTCTGGTTAGATGGTAAACTGTATTTCATTGCCTTGTACAAGTGCAATGACAATAAAGTTTAATCTAATCTAATCGATGGCTGACTTCGGTGAGGTAGGCTGTCCTCCCACCAGTCTGAAAACATACTGCAAACCCACACGCCCCACATGTCAAAGCAAGCTCAAATAAACAGCAGCTAATGACGCAGTTCCACTTCCCTCCTGTGTCATTTTGTTCCTATAACTTTTGGCTGAATCTGCACTGTCAGTAGTCAGGTAATCTTTGTGCAACCAGCAGCCAACATGCTGCCTGGGACCCCTGAGACTCCATACACTGAGCCAATAAAGCTGTTATGTATACTCACATGCACATAAACACACTGAACATGAAGCCATATGGAAAATGATTAATGCCAACTCTGTACACAAAACCTCATGCCAGAAATGATGTATAGTAGACCTGATGGCCAAGAGTGTGATACACAGGTTGGTACTTGGTTCTCAGTTCATCCCAGAACTGGACTAGCAAATGTTTTGCTGAAAGATTCTGCACTAAAACTGTCAAGTCTTTACACTAGGACAGACTTGAGACTAAAACATTTAACCCTTTAGAACAGTTTATCAGAAGATAACCAACAAGAAATTAATCTGTGGTAATTTGGAAAATTAATTATTTAGCAAATAAAAAATAAAAAAAAGAAATATTTTCTGGTTACAGCTTTCAAAAGCAGTCCAGGTTTTCCTGCCATTCTGTTTCATACTATTGTGGTGAAAACAAGTTTTTTTTAAACTGGCAACGTAAACAATTTTAAGCAATCACTTACAGCTCCAGTAATCCTACTTCTACACACATATACATGTATGCAGTCACAAGAAAAAGTAATGGTACTGTTTGCAATTTCCTGGTTTTCTGCGTAAATTGCTCATTAAATGTGATCCGATCTTCACCAAACTTATAAATATCAACAAACAGTATTTCTAAGCTGATAAAACACTGTCACAATCTTTCATGCCTTTATTACTTTTTCCCAATACCATTACTCTTTCTCACGACTCTGTGTGTGTCACACACACATATATGTCTCCACGAAAGTGAAAGACAACAATTGTGGGGGCCATAAAGGCTGCTATTGCTGCCAAGTTACTTGAAAAGTGAAGTGATTATGGAGATGAACTCCTCCTTCCAGCTTGCAACAAGGGTAAGTGGAATAGATGAAAAGAGAAAAAGGTTAGGGAGAAGGGAGAGGAGGAGCCTTGTTGGTGCAGCATCACATGTGCAGAGTGACGCTTATGGGAGGCTTCCATACCCTCTGTTCACTGTTGCCTGCCAGCTCATCCTGCAGGTCCTTGGCCTTCAGCTCAAGCTTGGTCCTCTGCTTGATCTGCTCCTGGCGCTCAGCCGACAGTTGCTCTCTCTCCTCCTTCATGGCAGAGATCTTGGATTTCAGCTCCCGCACAACGCGCTCCGTCTCCTACCAAACAGAAGCGAAAATGAAAAAAAATCTCACAGTGCAATTTATTTCAGAGGACTGTAAATACAACAGCTTGCATCAGACCTAAAACTAATATTCAAAAGTACTAAAGTAATATTCAATGTATATATTTATAAAACATTATGACTGTTTGATTCAGTCTCATCACACAGAAAAGCCATTCAACAATGTAATTCTGGATACTAAACAGTGTTACACCTTGTTACAGACAATGTTGTGATGGTTACTACAATGTTTAGTTTTACCCACCCCTAATCCCAAGTATGGAAACCATTCTTTGAGGTGGAATTCTTTACCTCTACTTTGTCCCTGGCATCTTGCTGAGCATCACGCAGCTGTCTGGATTTGTCGCCACAGGTCTCTCTCTTGGTAGACAACTAGGGATTGGAAACACACACACACACAAAGTATAAAAATCTTGGTATTTGAGGTTCTGAACAGAACACTACATTTTTTGTGCACAAGCCACAGTGACTGGTTAGCTCTTACAATTTTTTTTTTTTTTTTTTTAAAGGATCACTTATTTGTCTACCACTCTAAAATAGTTGTAATCTGCCATTAAAATGCTGTTTAACTTGTCATAGTAAAACTACTGTTGGGGACACACACACACACACACCCTATAATTGCAGGGGAAACACTGTATTGTGTATATATGTAATCTTCTGAGCAGTGGGTAGTGATACTTTCCCCGTCAAACACAAAGTCTAACAGTTTCTTTTTTTTTCTCTGTATATACAGTAAATCTTTTTTTTTTTTTTTACTTCATTACCTCATCCAGCTTAGCACGAGTTTCATTCAGCTCCTGGTTGTAGATGGTGTACTCCAGGGCTCTTCTCATCTTGTCCCACTTCTGGTACTGAGCAAGCTCCTCCTTCTCATCCTCCAGAGTGTGCAGACGTTCCTCAATATACTTTAGCAGCTCATTGATCTTCTCTCGCTTTCCCTCTGGAGAACACACACCACATTGTTCTTAAAAATACAAACCACTATTAAATGCAAGCTTAATTTTCTGAAACTGTCATCTCACACTAGGGCTGAATGATTTGGGAAAATAATGTTTTTTTAGCAATACTGCGATTGCAATTTAATATGCGATTTTTTTTCTCCACTTTTCTTCTGTACTATTCAGTGCAAACAGGCTTTGCTGTAAATGACTATAAAAAGACTAGATTAGAATTAAAACTGCACAGCAGTAAGTATGGAATAGGCATATTTTCTTTTCTTCATTCATACAATTCTGCAGATGTGAGCTCATCACAGACTTTGAGTAGTGTATTGGAATTTCTGATTAAACCAAAGCAGAAAACTAAACTATACAACATCTGAACCCTCTGCTGTCTGCACAGTTACTGCTGCTAGATGCACTGAACTATTTGAAGCACTTCAAATTTTTATCTTTACTTCTTTTCTCTGCCACACATTTATGTTTTTGATCCTGCCGCACATCCTTTGTTTAGAAATCGCTGGTTTTGATATTTGGAAATCACATTCTGTTAAATTAATTATTGTCTATTAAACAATAATGTAATGAGGGTTTTACCCGTCTCCTTCATGAGAGAAATACTCTCCTCCTTGCGTTCATCGTACACCCTTGTTCCTGCCACCTCTCTCAACAGCTTCAGGCGCTGGGAGTCAGGTGCTGTTGCCATTTGGTTGATCTACATAAAACATTGAAATAATGCATAAGATGAAATACCCTGCTCCATTACTTTGAGCAGATGTTACTTGTCATTTTGACCAATCAACACCAATGTTTCAGTCTGCTCAAAATGCATATAATTTAACATGACAAGCTAACACATCAGCACTAACTACAGCCTTGCTTGCACACCGCAATGCATTACACAGCACTAAAAAAAACACTATAATGTGTTAAACAAGTGTGAGTTTGGCACCCACTCCTTTCTCACCTTTCCCTGCTTGACGATGTAGTAGGGGTTACTGCGGGAGAAGCCAGCACTCTCCAGAAGGTTCATGACATCATTCTTACTGCAATGATAACAGACGCCATCAAACAAATGATTACACTGAATCACTGAAGTGCCATTTCCTCTGATTACAGGGACACAAACAGTGGATCCACAGAAATACTTACGTAACCATCTTCTTGTCTAAAAAGTACTGGTCTTTCTTTGCGCCAATGACGCGACGAAGGGAGACTTCTTCTTTGTCAATCTGGAGGGAGAGACATTTATCACTCGTCAAGAGGAGAATCGCACAGAGCAGCAAAATTGGCCGTCTACGTCACAGTACAACCAGGCTGCATGATTATAGGTTCACACCCAGTGAAAAACAACAATTGGATTTCTAGTGTGGTACAAACACCCTGCCTTCATCATAAAAATAATAAGCACTGTGTGTACTGGAGGCAGTGTGACTACAATCAGTGTTCATCCAGTTTAGGGAGACAGTTCAATATGAACTCAACAACATAATATAGTGATAATGTACAACTTCCAGTGGTAGCCTAGACTGAGGATGTTGAGCAAAGTTATTTTGAAAGTGATACCAATATCTAGTACTTTTCCACACATATCGATGTAAATTTTCTTTAAATGTTCTTGCACAAATACAGTTGTAAAACAGACTAAGATGCCTATCTTAAAATACGTTTTCTGTGGCTAATCGGGTATTTAAGTGACATACTTTTTATTCTGTAGTTTTATTAGCACAAGTGTTATACACCAGGGTCTTTGGCCAGTCCAAATGGCATGTCAATATACCAGTAAACCCCTAGCTTTAGCTTCTAATGGCTTCACCAATCAAAACATTTATTGTTTTCACAAGCAGATATGTTGTTATTCATTATATTTTTCATATTAACACAGAAAACAAGGAATTAATTAATAGTCTTCCTTCATCAACTTCTGCATTATGAAGCTGAAAGAACCAATGTGTCAGCAATTACAAAAATAGGATCAATATCAGAATCAGAATCAGCTTTATTGGCCAGGTGTGTCGGACACACGAGGAATTTGACTCAATACATCAGCTCTCAATGTGCATGTACATATCCCCATGCAAGGGGCAAGTAAACAGTAAACCAACATAAGGCTGTGTAGTATAACAAAATAAACAGTATTAACAAGCAACAAACAGTGCAAACAATGCAAAATAAACAGTATAAACAGGCATTAAAGAATGGAAACAGACAAAGGAATGCTCATTGTGAAACACTGTGAAATATGAAATGTTTGTCTTCCCTACCGGCAGCCGGTTATCAGAGTTGTCAAATATAATCTCCACAAAAGCCGAAATGACACGAGGACCAGTTCCCTCCTGTAGTCATGGGGAGGAAATAGCATTTTAACGCAATAGTGAGATGTTTACATTTATTAAAAGTGCTGCATCTCAAAATACATTTCTCACAAAGTTTCATTCTCCTTTAACACAAATATCATATTTTAACCTAACCCTAATGAGACTACTGTAATCCAGCACTTATTAGAACACAATATTTTGTCAAAGTGTGTATGTCTGAAAACTAATTTTTACTGGGATTTGTAGTGTGTCTGACATTTGTCTGTACTTACATGGAGCAAAGCCAGGCGCTGTTCAGGTCGCAGGTGGCTGAACTCATCACTGAGCACAAACTGAATGGCTACAAAAACAGAGAGCAGCCACAGTTTTAGATGACAAACAATAAATTCACAGAAGGTAAAATGTGTGACTTCTGTGTGATAGAATCCACTGAGGTTCAAGTTGCATACCATAGAAAAAGTTACTTTTTCCTGACCCATTTCTTCCAACTGTAACAAAAAAAAACACACACACAAAATAAGGGACATGATGACATGCATTTACAGCCAGTTACATGAACCTACTTTTGTATGTGAACCTGAATTCTCTGACACCCACATAAACCCAGTAAGTCAAAAAAAAACAAACAGTATCTTATAATACACACAGGTGAAACGTTGAGGTGAGCACAACATACTCACCAATGACATTGTGCTTTGGACTAAAAGGGTCTACAACAGTTTGGTCCCTGTAACTTCTGAACCCCTGGATGATAACCTGCACAAGAACCCAAAGACCACCGTGAGCACGCTGTCATATCATCCTCATATTTAAAATAGCACTGACCAATTACTGCAGCTAGACAAAGCTGTATGAAGGGACATGAATGAAGCAATATTACTACCTCTGCTCTCCGATTATAAAATAACTTACACTCGCAACATCAAATGTAACGTTAACCCAATAATAAAATGAGAGGCACGATTTCAAACAGGCCCTTGACTGTCAGCAGATGTATGTGCAACTGCACTCAGTTGGCATGCTTGTTAGCAAGATGAACCATAGGCTAGGCAATTATTATGACGTTGTTAGAGCGTCCGTTATATTCACACATGATGAAATCAATAACTAAAGTTAACTGCATATTAACTACTGAATAAAGCTAGAAATCAGCTACTGTAACATTAGCTTTGTAGCGTTAGCTTAGCACCATGAGAAGGGGGCGGGCAATTCCAATTAAGCTACTCCAAAGAGCGCTAACTAGCATTAACAAGCTAACTATGTATCTTAACTAAATTTTTGATGTTATTGTGCTTAGCTCTGCAACCCAGTTATCGCTGGAATATGTGGAAAACCCCCCAGTACACTGAGCACAGTAATTTAGTGGAATAACGTTAAGACAGCCGAATTACCGTCAGGCCAGTGATAGTCGGCAAAACGCACAAGTCCGGTGTCTTTAGCTTACCTGTTTGATATACATGGCTATCTAAGCACTGAGTCTTCTTGGTTAAAGTGGTCTTCTCCAATAAACTGGAGAAGTCCGGAAATTAACAACCCAAACTTAAAGAAATTTTTTGAAACTGCTGCATTAGTGAAACACTGTGTAGCAAAAGAGAAAAACACGGAAAATGGCGGCGGGGGCGGAATACAATGGATCATACCATTATGTGAACGATTCTTGTAGCAATAAACATACTCTAAATGATTTGTTGTGGTGATTTAATTTGATTGTAATTTAGCCTTATAGAAATATTGCACATGTTAATATACTATGATGACTCTGTGATCACTGTGTGTTTGACTGTAAACAGCACGTTTGCTACTTATTTACTTCCTGTTTGTACAGTTGGTACAGTCTTGTTGTCTGTATAGGCGCCAAAGACAGAAAAGTGGCCGAGCCACTGGTCTGATCACTAATCTAGTAGGACTTAAACTTGTAATCGTTAAAACGGTTGCTTGTTGATCATTATAGAATATGCTTCATTCTCTCCCTAGAAAATACAACGTTTTTCTATCTCCAGTTGGAGTTTTCTCTATCTGTGGTTTGGATTTAAGAAATCTAATGGAAGTGTTCAGTGGTTCATAGTTTGCATAGGTAACACTGAGTATACCAATAATGTTAACTTGATGACCAAGAATTTGGGCATATGCACCCTATTACTATAAGCATAATTGCTTAACTAAATCTGCCCATGAAGGCCAACTTAAGTCACTGCAGGTGTCACTGCTCTGAGGGCTTATATTATATTTAGGCCTGTCCTGCCAGAATGTATTCTAAAAGTAGTAGCCTGTTAATTTTTCATATGTTTTGCTGTTTGCAGGAATAGGTCACTGTACATTAAAGGCAAAGTTCACTTGAAATCCAAATTGATTCCTCAGTTACAGACCAACATACATGCTACAATGATCACACATGAACAGCAACTAGTTTTTGTGGTGAAAACATTTATTAAACAACACATTTATATCCACATGATTTTAAAAAAATCGGACGGACTGTAACTTTCAAATAAATTAGGTTTAAATGCCTGACTGTATTTGTGAATAGGCAAATAAATCACAATATCAACCTAAGGCAAGTATATTGCAGTTTATCACTGTGCTGTTGTTTCACCTCTGCAGTTCACAAGACAGGAAAACAGTATCAGTGTTTGCAACCCGTAGATTTCATAGGCCTCAAAGTCTGTGAATTAATACTATTATCTTGACTCTTCACTGATTCTGTCACTGATCTCCAGTCTATCTGCTCTGCTGAGTTCAACACCAAGCAAACAGAGAACATTAGATTTTATTTTTTTCAAGTAAGATTATATAGTACTCATAGTTCATTTTAAGGCAGTGCAGTTATTGGGCTCAGTTTTAACTGGTGATGGACTGGGGACTGCAGGCAAGAGGTAGGGAGGGTGAACACAGATGGCTCAAAGTTTTTGGTGTTGAATGTGGGGGCAACGTCATTGGCAAAAAAGGAGGCAGACTCTGGGGCACAGGGTGTGGCCGGTTCACGTATGGCAGTATGAGCCGGGGCCATAGAGAGAACCTCTGACTCAAACTGCAGCAGCTGACCCATAAAACTGAAGTTAGGTGAGATGATTGACCGGCGCTGTTTGATGATCTCAAAGGCTGCATCCAGCTGCACCTGCTGTGTCCTCATGATGTAGGCCATGCAGATGGTAGGTGAGCGTGAGATTCCTGCTTCGCAGTGGACCAGGACCTTTCCCCCTGATTGCCTCACATGATCTGGAAGGAAAAGAAGCCAAAATAAATTATCTGGTCAGATAAGGGCCCAGTTTTTCTTTCTTTCGGCTATCATCAGCAAAATTGTTCTAGCTCATGGTTTGTGTCAGGATTTATTTTATTTTTGTGTGTCTCTAACTCCTATTTTTTAAATCAAATGAAGTGGTAGAGAGGGTTGCAATGCATCAATAGGTAGTTTTAACAACTAATGAAAAATCAAATTTTAACCGTCTAATTATTATCATCTCCTTACTCCCACTCACTGATTCTATGTGAACACCTTTCTGTGCATAATAGTTTCTCACATACATGACGTGAACACAGCTGGTTTCGTGTGTGTGTGTACCATCGACTGCAATAAAATATATTTATACAGTCAGTGGTGTGTACACAGACACCTGTGTGGCTTGTCTGAGTCACGAAGTGCAGCTTTACATGAGATTTTCTTTCTCTTCCACTGTTGTGGGGGCGTTGGGTGCTGCTGCAGTTTAATGTGGCACAGGGAGGTACTGTATGTTCTAATTTAGAACTGCAGTGCTGTATGTTCTAATGCCTACACAAAAATCTACTGTCATTTGTACAAGTGTCGCTCAAGACACATTTTGGGATTTTTTTTTTCAATTCCTAGAAAGATTGCAAACTCCTACTTGTTTCCTTTTCTGCCTACTTAGTTTAATCTAACTACACTTAGTTCCACAAAGCCCCTGTAGACACCTACAGATCTCGCTCTGTCTGTCTGTCTGGTAAATAAAAACACTGAGGGCTCCTTCTGTTTGGTTCTGAGAGCCACTGCGGGGGAAATGATGATTTCTGACAATGATGATATTTGATAAACTACATGACTGAATCATAAACTTCCCATCTGGAATGGCAGATGCAACAAAAGAGATGAGGGGTCAGAAGCGGGTGTTTGAATGACTATCCTCAAGTGATGCGCCCTCATTGGCCAGAGGTGTCATGATTCGCTTCAGCAGCTATTTTCTTTCAGGAGGTCACTTAATATGTATTTTCTCCCCCCGATTGTAAATCACTAGGTTTGAAGGGTTTCTAATTGGTGATTGCTTTTCATTTGGCTGATCTGTGAGAATTTGTGTACACCACATTTGAAGTCACTTGGCATAGATTATGAATTCTGTAGGTCCTTCCTGAATGTAGGCTAAACCTACCCCAGGAAAAAACTGCTGCCTTATGTAACTGACAGGCTTAATCAAAGACACCCTAAATGTAGGCTGCAGCCCCAAACAATGTACGACAACAGCAGCCCCACAATACTGGTCAGCCAAGCTGCTTGTGGGTGAGCTTTGTCCTTGGTTATACCTGGCTATAAATAGCCACCAGTACATTGTGTATATCTTTTGCTACTGTTGCTGCTATTATTCAGCACCTCTCTCCTCTCCCACACACTCTCTCATTCTCTCTAACACATTCATTGCCCCACTGCCCTCATGTCCACAATGATTCTCATCTGTAAACAACCAAAAATTGTTTTCTCATTCTTTGTCAATCTGCTAGCTCTAATCCTCCACCCAACCAGCGCTAATAACTCTGTGTGTAGGCTATGTGTGAGTGTGTATCAACCAGCTCTGGACCTCCTCTACCCCACATTTACTGAACACGGACAGATCACCCAGTTGTCACACTGACTGGCCACACCCAGTACAGTAAGCCACTGAGATTAGGTCTGGGAGGCAATGACGGCATGGGAGAGTCTTTTTAAAGCAAAGAAGGGGGGGAGTAAGGTCAGATGAGGGAAATGAACAAATCCTGAATGAAAGCTGACTGGTTTGATATGTTGGGGGGAGGGTTATGCAGCAGAACAACCTAAACTGATTAATGCTGAGTTTCTTAGACCTCCACGGGAGCAGGTGTGAAGGGCAAAGGATGCATGTTTGAAAATGTATTTCAAAAATAACCACACCTATGTATAGGTGTCTCTCAGACTCAGCTTGGGTAGTTCTGAGACTTCTTGAGGTGATGTTGCACTATAAATATAGTGACAGCAAAGATGACGTATTCCAGGAAAATGTTCGATGTTGGTGGAGGTGTATTTCTTTCCCTCTGTAGCTGGTTTGCGTGTATGAACTATTTTGAGTACTAAGATGAGTGAATCAACAACTTTATAAAATAACAGTGCCCCGACACAAACCTTTGAATGTAAACCCAGTAAACCACACAAGAGTTAAAGAGCTATCCCCTGTAAAGAAATGGGCACAACGATCTTTCCCTCCAACTCACCAATAAACTCAATGGCCTCCTGGAAGTGGGAGCTTATGTCAGCCATGTGGCTGTCCTCCACTGGGATCCACTTGTAGTCGTAGTGGCCCTTTTCTGGCCGCAGGTCCCTGCGTGACACATTGAGCAAGGCCGTGATGTGAAGGTCGCTGAGATAGTCCTGTCTGGAGGCATGGTAGGCACTACCGAGGTAGAGGAAAGGCAGGATCTCTACAGGTTTACCCTGAGTGGGAAAAGGGTGAGAAAACAGAGTTGTGAGAAGATAAGGACTAGAATCTACAACACACAACCTCCTAACAAGACACAACACTGGACACTAAGCCTTGATTCATCTGCTTTACCCCACCCTTAAGGCATGTTTGAGAAAATACACCCAAGCCAAAATTTCCAAGCACCTGCCAGCAAAACATTAAGTACATCTGCAGATAAAATGTACACAGCTGTATACAGCTGGAGGAATGAAGTGAAATAACCCACAAAACACCACAGACACAATAGAGTGTTCTTTGAGATGTGAAGCAGCCACGTGCTTTCTGTTTGGTCAGCGGAGGAGATAGGACAAAGGTCAGTGTTAAAAGAGTGCTTTTCTCCAGGGGGTGTCCCCATAGCAGCTGGGCATCAATGACTGCTCTGTCCCTTTTGAATCAGAAATGGCTGGTGAGTAGCAAAGGTCAGATATTATTTAAGCTATATGTATGTTGAGAAAATGTTTTGATGTGCTGGTGCCAAATATAAGCCTATCTGATGTCAGCAGACTTTGGATGTTTGTATTTTTTCTTTTTGAATAGGGCTAAAAATACAAATTGTCAGTGCCCTGGGGTTGTGAGAGAGCAAGGGTGGAAAGTAGTGCTGTAAAACGTGTTTCCAAACCTGATCATAGTCTGGTTTGTGGTGACAAAGCTTCTCACTGTGACTGCTGACTCTTCTGTCAGTTTCACTTCCGCTCTGGTCGATGGTTTTCACCTCAGTGCAAAGTTCAGGGTATTGAGAGTGGAAGTTCTGGTATCCTCCTGAGCAAAAAGAAAAACATCAACACATTCGTTGTTTGTAGCCTAACAAGAAAGCTTATAATAACAACCACTACCCCCTGACACACTCATGCACCTCTTGGGAAATGGCCGCATTTATGAAACAGTCTTAGCACCGATTATAACCTTTATAACCCGATTATAAGCGCGTATTTAATTACAGGAGATCGCAGTTGAAGGACCGGTAATCCCTTTAGGCCAACATCCTGGGGACGCATAGGTGACAGACGGAAATTGATGTGTTTCGTCACGTTATCAGAACCTCCAGGGAATTATTTAGATGAAAGAAATGTCTGCTTTTTAAAAATCGAAGTAAAAAAGTCATTGCAGCACCAATTTGCCTGTGTTTCACCCGCACTGACTCATCTGCTCCGTTGACGCACGCAGCTGGACATTTATCTCGCCAAGAAGTGCGAGAAAAATGAAGGCTGCTTTTCACACGGGCCAGAGGGGTAGTGGGAAAAAGATGACTTGGCCTTAACAGCAGGAAAACGTCAAATTGAATAGGCTAGTCCATAAATAATCCCTAAAAAGTCTACACATGTGAAATAAAAGTGGCCAATAGTTTTTTTTTAGGTTACGCCATTTAGACTAATTAAGCCGCTTCACGCTTATGAAGAATAAGATTTATGTTAATATTCTACCAGGAATAGGGATAATTCGGCTTTTAGAAAAGCCACGGCTCTCAAGTCTGTACAGCAGCATATCAAGACAGAGTGAAGTTTAATTTCAAGGCAGCCCAACATTTCAATCATTTTAATATAAAGGCATGAGTAAAACGTTTGATAAAATGTGAACAAGTTGTCAGTCTTCACCATGCAAGCCAGGCTATTTCAAATTATTTTAAAACAGCTAAGCAAACTCGTTGACTATGTTTGGTTTCTCATTTCTGGATTAAAATAGTTTAATGTCCCCAAACTCTCACCTTTCAGGAAACAGATGTTTGCCCCGCTCGCTAGATGTGAGAGGGTGTTTATTACTATTTGTGCTACACTGTCTTTTTTCAGCTTTTGCCAGTGGGACGTCCGGTCATCCAGAGCTACGATAGCTGATATGCTCCCCTCCCGAAGCCGAAACAGCGCTTTCTCATCCGGAATGACAAACTGGAGAGGAACCGGCCCTCCTCGAGACCTCCGGACCACCACTGAGTTGAGGTTGACATTGACAGAACCTTTAATATTGGAATTCGTGAATGAAAAAAAAGGTCGGCAATCCACAATAAGGCAGCTCCCACACTCCTTCCTGATGATCTTTCTCAGACGCCGGCAGTCTATGCTGGACACTTTCATTTTGACGTCTAGAAGTTGCTGTTATTGCCAAAAGAATTCAACTGGTCTGCTCCTAAACGGCGGTTGCGGGCGAGACGAAGAGGCCCGAGCGCGTCTGTGCCTACATTTCCTCCAAGGGGATTCCGGCCGATCAGTTTTATATGAATGGGACCTCCGGCGCGTGACGTCACGAACCATATATGGACACCGGCGAGGTGTGATTGTCGCAAAACCCTCCCACAACAATGACTAGATGTGACTCCACCCCCGGTCCTGATAAATAATAACCCTACTACTGCCGTGTGCTTGAGTCAGCTCTTACAGCGCGTCCTCCACCAGCACCTACACCTGCGCTTTCATTTCCACTCCGTGTTCAGCGACCATTTAAAAGACATAAAGCCAGAGATGTTTGGGAAGGATGACTAACCGAAGAAAATAATGTAAATACCCTACCAATGACCAATCAATGCTGTTTGGTGTGCAAAAAAGATCTGCAGTGAAGTCATCAAATATCAGTTTGATATAGTTTTCTGTCCAACAAAACCATAAAATAATCAAATTTCAAATCGAAGAAAAGCTATGATCACAAGAAGATATTGCTGTGTGTTCCTGACACAAACATGCACATTTAAGAAGCATATTGCAGAAAAATAATACAGTGATATTATAGGAAATTAATAACACAGGATCTGCACGACTGCAGAGTCTTTCAAGGGAACTGTACAGAAAAAACAAGTGATAAATGCCATATGATATATAATATATATTATAAAATTTGAATCCCACTGTAAGTCCCCAAAGGTCATTTTTGAAATGTCAAGGCTACTTATGAATATTCAGTAATGTGTGGGATTTTAGGTAGTTCAGGAAGACAAAAGCAACCACTAATGTCTCCTTAGTGTCATGTACAGCCCAGTGAACCTGCCTTATCTCGCTCAGCATGTAATCCTAATCACCCAAATGTATTAAACCCAGGTTTAAACGTCACACTGTCTGCCCTCATGTGCAATCAACCCTAGCACTTAGTGCAGGACTGTGTTTGGACTTTGTTTGCATTTGTACTTGGATTTAAATGTGTAATCACTGATGGCAGCTCGTAATCCAACTGGAACCATTTTGACTTCACAGTAGGCCATATTTAAAGACTGCTATCACAAAGCAACAGTCGCAACAAATTGTTTGGCAAAAACCCAAAAGCAAAAACAACTATTCAACATTTAATGGGGGTGAGGGAGTGGGGTGCTGCTGCACTGCTTTTTAGCTGGCTTTTTGCACATCTTAAAAATAGCATGGGAATTTTCAAGTTGGTGTTAAAACAATATTGATGTATCACTAAGTAAGTGAATAAGTAAGAATTTGGATACTTACTGAACTTGCCCATTAAATTCAAGCACACTTTATAGTTCTTGTGTCTACTGGCTGATCTTACTGTTAATCATTACATACTATGTATTGAATCTGTTTTTTGTTTTTGGGGTAATGTTCTCCACCTAAATCAACTGTATACTCAGTGTAAACAAGAAACACTGAGCTCCTCACTGGTCAAACACTCCAACAAATATGTGTTACATCATATTGTGTCTGCTGCATGAATGCGTGGGAATGACAACAAGAACAAAACAGAAGCAGAAAGAAAAACAGAGCAGCACTGAACAACAGAAATGTGACAAATGGACAGACAGTGAGACAGAGGCAGCAACAGCCCTGGTCACAGGCTCAGATGGACACATAAAATTAAACAAAACAGTGGACGCTCTCAGTCAGTAGGGGAGAAAGGACTGCATGTAGTGTTGTGCATGGCTAGCTGCCCATCTCTGGTCTGCTGAAAAATTAGGCTGAATGGTTGAATGGCTGAATAGATGCGGCTATAGATAAACTGCACTGTGAGATGAACTGGTTGGGGTTGGGTGGAGAAATGCCTGGATGGTGTCTGAGGATTAGCGGGACAGCAGTCAGCATGCCATATGGTCCAGTCTAATCTGGGCTCGTGACATCATGGCCGATGAACAGGGAGGCCCACCATACATGTCCTAGCCCTCATTTCATAATGGGTTTTTTTAGTGTCAGCTGTAAATAACAACAATGCATCCAAATGAGCCAAATAAATAAGATATGTGTTCAACCAGTTGTACCCAAATGAGTCAAATAAATAAGATATGTGTTCAACCAGCTTATCAGGCCTTTTCTTTGTGGTTCCCTCAGATATCTTCACTCTCTTCTGGTCTCTTTGGATTTGAACCCAAATACAGAACAAAGCCAGAGGGAGGCAGTGAGGGTAAAACAGAGCTTTATTAGAGATCTAAGACAAACAGAACAATAAACACAACGTAAAGCATTCAGACAAAAACATGGCCGAAAACAGCAAGCTCAGGCAAATTGTCTTACAGTAAGAACACAAAACACAACTAAGACCAGGCTCTCCTAATTCAACTCTCAGCACAGTGAATAAAACAACGATCAAGCAGAAAAACAGGAGAACTGAACACGCAAAGACCAAACAATATTTTTTGCAGAAAAAGGTGAATGTAGGAGTCTGTACAAAAACCAGGGAAGCTTGAAATGGTACTACTGAAATGAAACTGTCTCACAGAGATGCTGAAAAACTGGTCTGTGCATTTGGAACCTCCAGGCTGGACTACTGTAACTCTTCACTATCAGGATTAGAACATTCCAAGAGTTTTATTATGGCGAAATCTTGCAGTTTAGTTTTGTTTTGGCTTACCTCCTTTTCGTTAATTTACTTCCAAGTAAGTAGTTTCGCTATTTCCTCTGAATTCCCAGAAATACTCCTCTGACTTTTGTCAGAGATCCACAAAAACCGAAACCCAAGACTTATGGTTGCACTGTTTTCTGTTCTGTTGAAGCTCCTGCCAAAAGAAAACCCACATTTTCTGCCACATATATGACTGATTTCTTGGTCCAGAAAATATCAACTTGTCATCGAATCTGAGCTGACATTTACTGCCATTCCGTACTGTTTTCAGAGTTGAAATGTTTCAGGCCATCAAACTTTACTTTTCAGTTTGTAAAAGAATTAAGGAAAAATGCCCGGGGATGGTTATGTAATTGACATAAGAGTACAAGTTAAAGCACCAGTTTTTGCTGTGAGTCCTAAATTGCTTATGTGAATTATTTTAACTTGATGTAGAGCATTAAGAGGTATGGCTGACTCAGACTTTTGTTACTTATTTACATTCTTTGCTGACAGAAGAGATTATATCACAGCCATTTTTGTGTGCCTGTTTTGTGCTGCATATAGCTCCTATCACAGGACTTTTTATTTATACCAGACAATGACTGCTGGACAGACGGCATTAGTATGGTATGTGACTGCATCAGGTCACTTCCTGTCCAGAATGTCCCTTTTTCCACGTTACTTATAAAAAGCACCCAAACACAATAGGCTGCCTTCACTGGGACATCATGTACCCCCGCTCACCACTCTGCCTCCTCAGCTGCACAGGTGCTTCCTGGTTTGCTGACAGAGCCTCCAGATGATGATGCTGTTTCCCAAGAAGGCTCAAATTATTCATCTCACCTCAGCTGACCACTGAGTACAGCAGGCTGGAATTCCACTGGGGTACCAAACACGACTCAAGGGAGTTTCAGTGCAGAAATACAACTAATAGCTTGCAGTACTTTTAAGGTCACTTTTGGTGATGTCTGCTGCAGAACTGGTGTGGATCACCGGTGGGGTTTGTATTGTATTGTACTGTATTCAGCATAGATGAATTAGCTAAACTACATCTAGGTATTACACTGAGTTGGTTTTAGCCTCTGTATGAGATTTAGGGAACATAATAAAAACTTAGAAAATCACCAAACCTCAAGTAAATACATCTATTCTATTAAATGAATATTATCATAACCTAAAAAGAAGAGTCAGAGTTGATGTCAAAAGGAAAACTGTTAACCATGATGAGTTTCTTAGCAACACTCCAGGGAATGCTGATGGCATGTAGTCACATGTCGGTTATTGTTTAAGCAGCATATGATCCGCAACTACAACAACAACAAAGCTCTGATCATATCGCATCCAGTGTCAAATTTAATATGAGACAAGAATGTTTGGTATTCTTGGGTTCAAGTCATGATATGATGTCCCTGATGACACATGCTGAACACGCTCTCAGAGACACACACACACACACACACACAGGCTTCAAAGGCTTGACTCAACCCGTGTCCACCCACTGCTCACTATCATGTCAGGACTCTTTGAGGCAAGCCAAACGCTTTGGCAAGACAAGAAGGGCGAGAAAGGGTATATGTGTGTTCGGCAGATTAAACAGAGGGTAGTTCATCCTTTCCCTGCTCCTAGCTATTGTAAAAAAGGGTCTTGGGGTGAAGTTTTCATTAAATGAAAATAGTGGAGGCCTCAGGTGGTGACAAATTTGGTGTGCCTTGTTTATGCTATAGAGGTAGGAGTGCTATGGGAACTGACTGTGGAGCCTGAGGCACTGTCGTGTTGTTCTATGGCTTGATAAATATAAAGAAAACAAACCCACCTTATCAACCAATGTTGCCATTCTGTGGCCACAAAACACGCAGAAAATGTGGATGCCAGGATGCTGTAACTCCAAGGAAAGCAAGAATACATTCTGTACTGCACTGTACTGTGAATCATAGCATGACCTGGTTACTGAAGAGGAGGTTTAAAGAAGAGTCCATGTTTAGCACATAACTTAAAATAACACAAGTATTCATGGAGATCTGTGAAGGCTGCCATGAATACTTGACATCCCAGGAAAGCTGGCTATAAATGCTCTTCACGTGCTTCACATTCACACATAACACACTGTATATGAAAGTTCATTAGAACTATTGTACTGTATCTTTTATCCCAAAGTAATCCATCACCACATTAGATGGCCTAGTCATTTCCTGCTATGGAGTGTCAACAAGGTTTCCCGTTAAAATGTGTGGCAATACTGATATTGTGTTACCAACATTGTGGTCTGTTCCTAGTGAGAGCAGGGTCAGAGAAAGTGTCTAGAAATGCCAAGTGATGAGTAGTTTTTCTTTCAAAACAACCAAAGCTGGTGATATTCTCTCTCTCCCATATAGTCATAAAATTTGAATGAAAGACCAATAAGGCATTGAGCCTACTACCAAGAATTTCATGCTAATCCAAAGCCT